CTAAAATCTCATCATTCATTTTTGAAAAAAGTAAGCCGTGTAAGATATTTTCTTTGATAGATTTATTCATCTTCCCCCTTTTTTATTTTTAATAAAAGTGTTTGAAGTTTTCTATTAAAATTTAAAATTTTTTTTGTAATATCATTTATTTAGTATCTGTACACTTAAATGTTTTACAATGCAAATTGAGATAATGCTAACTGAAATTTTCGTATTTTTTGGTAGATATGGCAATACTTTATTTTGAGATATTATTTTAAAATATGCTCTATAAATTGGCCATGGAAAAACAATGTCATAACTTGTTGATGCTTTATTGAATCTAAGTTAGTCATCATTACTTTAATATATAATAAATTCTTAAAATTAGTAAAATAAAATTAAAATTAACCAATTCCATTAAAAATAAAAATAGCAGATTCCTTGAGATGGATTGTAATATCAATATTTGTTTGGTTTATTCCAGAGACCTGCAGAGGTACTATTTGCACAGCCCGGCCTTAAATTTTTTAAACCCGGCCCGGATATTTAAAAAAAAATTTTTTAAGGCCCGGCCCAGATTTTAAAATTTAGGGCCCGGCCCGGATATTTTTTAAAAAAATTTTTTACGGCCCGACCAGGCCCGGATTTAAAAATTTCAGGCCCGGCTCGGAATTTTTTAAAATTATATTCGAGCTCGTATATACAAAAATTCACCTATGAGGTATTTTACCATATTTTTCAGCGTGTATTATCGCTTATTATTTAAAAAATACATGTAAAAAGCTAATATTTTGAGAATATTATAGAATTTATAAAAATTACAAAACTGTTATTTATAAAAATGGATATTTTGAGCATATAATATATTTTATATTGCATTTATAAAAATAAAACTAATATTCATAAAAATGGTAATAATATTTGTCATATACTATATTTTATATTACATTTTAAAAAAATAAAACATTTAATTTATAAAAATGGAAAATATTTTGAGAATATAATATATTGTATTTAATTTACTATTAAATTTATAAAATAAAAATAAATAGCTATTTAAAAAAATGCATGTATAATAAATAGTATTTTGAAAATATAATCTAATTGCACAATATTAATATAATTTATTTTATAATATAAATTTTTAACAAAAGAAGATAATTGTATTATATAATATTGTAAAAAAAAATAATGAAAAATGTTGGATTAAAAACTTTCATGACTCAAGGTAAATATAATAAATGCAATAAATATTTGACAGTTTGCAAAGTAAAAAACCAGCATGATTGACGAAATCCTATACTCAAGAAAGATATTAAAAATTCACAAATTATCATGAAGAAAGAGAAGCATATCTACCTTTTCAGGTTGAAGAATACTTCTTCTTTCTTCAAGAATTCTCCCAGTAGTGGAAAAATTCCGCTCACAGCTTGCACTTAAAGCAGGAATTGCCAATTTTGCTAAAATTGGAAATTCGCTTTGATGAGCCGCCCATCACTCTAACAAATTATCCACCTTAAATGTTTTATCTATTATTTATGTAATTATAATATTCATCATCGGGTATTGACATATTACCAGAATTACCATCGCCCCATTTGTCATAAAACGATTCAGTTTGTTTAACAACAGACGTAATTTGACTGGTCGATGGTATTTCAATTACTTCCTGAGCCTCTTGTAATTTAATATAATCTTTTATATTTCCGTCATTTTGCGATCTGTCCCTGACTACATATGTAATTGCTTGAATTTGGGACAGAGAAAAAGAGAAATAAAATGATAGTTGTGTAAACAAAGTTTTCAATTAAAAAATGCTTTATATTAAGTAAAATCAATATTATTTGTCCTTTTCGCTTTGAAAGGTATTACAAACTTTAAGAAGTGATATTCCTTTATTTGATTGTTTTGGTAAAATATATTCTAAAAATTTAGATATGAATTATAAAAAAATATATTAATAATACTTGAATATTGGGGCTTATTTGATATTCCTTTATTTGATTATTTTGGTAAAATATGTTGTAAAAATTTAGATATGAATTATAAAAAAATATATTAATACTTTGAATAAATTTGCAGGAAATTAATAATTAGATCGATCTGTGGGTCGTTAGGTAGTGTTAACCATCACCCAATATTATATTATTTATTTCTTTCTTTATATTAAGGCCCGGCCCGGCCTGGGTTATCTTAGGCCTGGCCCGGATATATTTAAAAAAAAAATATTAAGGCCTGGCCCGGATATGTTTAAAAAATTTAAAATACGGCCCGGCCCTGCCCGGGTTTAGGGCCGGGCCTGCATGTCTCTGGTTTATTCTAAAACTAGGAAATATTATTTAATGAATATTTATATATATAATCTTTAATATTTTATATACATAATTTTTTTATTATAGTAGTCTATATATTTTATAATATATATACATACAAATACATATATATATATATATATATTTAAATTATATACTCATAAAATAAAATAAATTTTGCTAAAAACAGATATAAATACCTCTAAAATAATATCTAGATACAGATATCACTTTTTTATATCATACTTTAAAAATGAAATTTTTCATAAATATTTGAAATTGATTTACGTTATTTAATAACGGATTATAGGTAGTGTATTAATATACCATTCAAATATATATAAAATTAACAATAGATGTTTTGTATTTGTCAACTTACATAAATATATTTATTTATTTAGAATATACCTGTGCAAGGTATGCCAAGTCAAGATCAAGGCCTCTATGGCATCCATTGGATGCGAAGGATGTAATGAATGGATTCATTCTAAATGCTTGAATTTACAAGTGCATGTTTTTAAATAATGGGGGAATATCGATGCCCCATTTTTTTGATGCGATTGTTATAATATTAATGAATCTTTAAATAGGCTAACTGCCGATAATGAGTTATGACTTGTAGCGCTTTATAAAAAAGTACCGCAGTAATAAGATAGATATCAATAAATGTGTTGTAGATGATGTATCTTCTAGGTTTTTAAAATACTTTAAGAGAAATTCTATATTAATGCTATATACTCCCCTATGGGTAATGAGGGACGGAAATTGCTTTTATAGAGCTATATCGTTAGCATTAAACGGACAATCTGATGAGCATGTATATATAAGACTAATAACAGCTATTGAGATTATTAAGAATCGTGACATTTATGATAAAGATCATTCTAAATATATTTTAAAGGATGATTCTTGATTTTGAACGATCTTTTGATGATATTTTGTATACAGTATTAGATTTAAGCAAGTGGGCCACCATTGCAAAGATTTACGCGAAAGTAACTAATGACCCAACTTATAATAGGGAAATACGGGGTAGAGGTGTTCCACTTTACCGACCCATCGATTGTACCATTCTTTGGACATCATTATAAATTTAATTAATCATTTAGCGGTATTGTATAATAAAGATAAATCGAATAATAATGATTTAGAAAACGCGTGACAAATATCCTACTTTATCACAATATAATCAGGATGACGACAATGATACAGATATTTCATCAGATAAGGATATGAAATAGATAATGGGGTTGTGAAATAATAAACCAAGTTTATTTGATAAAGAAGATGAGATCTATCAGAAAATTTCTGAATATTTAGATAAATCGATCAAAAAAAACTTCATCAACCCTAATAGATGAAAATTATAATAATTAATTTTTTGAAAGTAAAGTAGCTGAGGAGACCCCAAAATAATATTTCACCGTTAACTCAATTTAGGCCAAACATGGACATAGAACCCTATAATAATCAAGCGGCGATATATAATTTAATTTGAGTAAGCCTGTATATAAAAAAAGCAGGGCTGTGAACTAGAACCCTCAATATTTTACTGAACCCAAACCCTTTTTTAAATTTAGGGTTCAGGGTTCAATAATTTTTTTAATATTAAATTTTAATTTTTTAAAAAAAATATATTAAAAATAACGTATATAAAACCATATTAAAATTAAAACATGCAAATTATTTAAAATGTGTAATGTAATTTTTTTTATTTTCAATATAAAAACATTTTTTCGTGAAACTTTTTTTACGTAAATTTTTTTTATAAATACTGTATAATATAACATATATTTTAGGAATATTTATTTTTGTTTGTTGAATTAATAAATTAAAAGTAAGACCACAGAAAAAAACATAATCATAAGGTAAAATAGCTTTATTAAATGCAAGTTGCAATGTCCTGTCAAAGTTAGGTAAAATCTATATTTTAATTTTAACATCTCATTTTTGGAAGATATCGTGATATTTATCTTATCTAATTAAAATGATAAATTATTTTTATGGTAAGGGCTAAATATAGTAAAATAAAATTTATAAAAAACGAATGTTTCTGTTAATTTTATATTTAAATTTTTCTGGACCATGAACCCTGAATCTAGGTCAGAGATAATTCACAGAACCAGCTCAAATCTTTTTAGAAGTGTTCACAACCCTGAAGATGGGAACGCTTTTTTAAAGCCTAACTAGCCATCCCATTGGTTTGGATTGTATATATCAGAGCTTGCAGCCTGGATCTTAAACGGTTTTAGTTCAGGACTGAATATATAATTTTTAAAATAGGTTCTAGTTCCTAAACATCTTAAAAATGGTTCAAGTTTCTTTTACAGTTCCAAACTCTCTTCATAACCAATAAAAGAAATTTCGAAGCAATTTGATGAATATATATATATCGTTTTAGGATATGAAATCTATGGGGAATCGAAATATCTAATTTTTATAAATTTCCAGCTCGGGTCCGGGTTTTATATTTTCAGGAATTTTTTAAAAAAAATTTCAGGCCCAACCCAGATTTTTTAAAAATATATTCTATTTATTTTAAATTTTTATAGCTAATGGCGATTTAAAATATATAGCCCAGCCCGGGTATTTTTTTAAAAAAAATTTCAGGCCTAGCCCAGGTATATTTAAAAAAAATTAATATTACGGCCCAGTCCGTGGGTCTGGTATATATATATTTTAAAAAAAGAAGTAAGAAGAATTTACATTCATTTTGGAAAAAGGTCTTATGAATTTCCTCACCAAACCATTGGTATCTCCTGCCTTTTTTATATTTTTTGTGACTAAAAAGGAGGGAGCTTCATTGAGTGTCACTATGAATTCTGTTCGTTCTTCGGGAATTTTCTGAAAACATTTTAAAAAATGATATGAATTTTTTTTACAATAAAAATTTGACGATCTAAGCAATTAGCTATTAAATGCAGTAATTTTATATTTTTTAAATAATATGTTTTAAAAAATAAAGATAGTTTTAAATTTCGTTAATTATTTTATATCATAGCTCTTTATCACTATCACAATTTAATCTTTAATAATCATATTATTTTTAAAATATAATTAAATACTATAATGGTACGATTGAAGTTAGTTGATGTATTGATTGGCTCATCTTTAGAGGTACGATAAAGATCGTGATGTTTCTTTGGGGAAATAGGTTTAATATTTTCGAGTCTTTTAAACGGAATTTAGAGATCAATTTAATAAATAATAAGGGAATACTTTTCTCTTGAATTGGATCTGACATATCTTCGTTGCTTAACTTCATCTAAGGTCAGTGGAATTTGGCCTATAAAAATAGATTAAATATTATTAAAAAAATTTTTGGAGGGTTCTAAATGTTGTATCTGTCGATATATATAATTGACATTTATGGACGTTTTTCAAAATATTTTCGAGAAGATATATTACAATTATTAATCTTTGTTTTAAGATTTGCACGTTAGATTATATATAATTGTGAATTATATGGAAATAAAATTATCATGAAATAGTGATTTGGAGTTGTATGTTAAAAAATAAATATCGTCGGTCTAGAATTGGAGTGTGCTCCACTAGACATTTTCAAAATTTTTGAGTTAGAAGTGGATAGTAACTTATTTATTCCCAATATATATAAAAAATAAATAAAAACTAGATTAAAAAATATTAATTTTTGCCAAAGTTATAGCACTGTCAATTTTGAGCTATTTGCATATAACGATGTAATTTTTGCTGCATATGCATAGCCTATCCTAATTTAATCACGTATTGTATTTCCCTCCCTTTTTAATTTTTTGTTTTTCCATATTGAATTGTAAAATATTTTTATTCCATATCTATCCTAAATTATTTTAATGTCAAGGTAAATTTTTTATAATTGTTTTTAAAATTATTATTCATTATTTTGATATTTATTCTTCAATATAAAACAAGATTTACACTAATACATTCTAACATAAAAAATTCAAGAATAATTTCTTTCCCCAAATTTTAAAAATATATTTCGTTTTCTCATCTTTACTATTTTGAATTTTTCCCAATATATTGCATATAGATTCCTTCAAAAGTCAGGACAATCTGATAATTTTTGTTGTACTTCTAAATATGGCTTTATAAGTTTTATTAATAATTTTATATATGAAATTACTTCTTGAAGTGGATATTTTTGTGTTTGTTATATTATGTGAATTATTTGATATTATGTTAGAAGTGTGTAAGCCCCTCTTAAAATTGTATCATTTTTTGTCATTCAATATACCATATCTAACCTACCTTAGTCAAATTATAAAATGTTATCATTTCAGGCTTGCTTGAATCATTTTTATCAACATTTTTATTTTGGTGAAAAGTGAAAGCACATCTTTTTTTTCTTTGATATGATAATAATGTTATTTTTTCATATTCAGCTCAAATATAGATATTACATTATAATTAATTTTATTATATTTACTTTCAATATTTTGAACGATGTCTCGATTATAAAATACTTTATGATTTATATACTAAAAAATGTGATGAATTATCAAGAATACCTGTTAAAGCTCATTATTACACAAAAATATTTAAAAATAATTTTAATATTGGATTTGATAAACCATTTAAAGATAGATGTGATAAATGTGAACATTTAATTAATAAAGAATATATGAATGAATAAGATATTTGAAATTACAATAAACACCATGAAGATTATGTTGAAACTAGCAGGCGCGTACGCAGCGGGGGGGGACAGAGGGACAAATCCCCCCCCAAAACCAAAAAATGCAGATGCCGGATTATATTTTTCAAAAATATTATTGTTAATATTAATTTATATTTGTTAATATTTATTCTTATCTCATATAAACATATATATATATATATATATTATTTATCACATTCATCTACTAAGTTATTTTATCAATCAATTTCGATTTCAAGTTTTCCTTGGCGTAATTTACCTATTATTTTCAAATTTTAGTGGCGTAATATTTATCTAAATTTCTAATAAAATAATAATTATCTCTGAAACTCCTTGTCCAACAGGGAGAAAAAAATTGCAAGCTTGTCCAACGAGATCGAGTCTCCGCCACAGTAACAGCTATTTTGGAGTTAGAAGAGCTGATTATTAATGCTATTACTGAAATATCACAATGGCTTGAAAGAAATATTTCCTCAGAAGCAAGAAAATTATTGGATTCAATACTTATTCCAAATTTTTTTTCTCATTAGAATGTATTATTTAATTATACAACTATTTTATGTAATACTTTTAAAAACATAACATTGACTTGATTAAGAAGATGAGAATAGCGGAGAGCATTTTATTAGAACTCAAGGAAATAGAGCTAGTGTTGTTGAAGAATTTCATATTTTATATGTTATTGTTGAGTCAAAAGCAGAGCTATACGTGTTAAATATTTGTCCCCCTCGACTTGCAGCAAGCAAGCTCATCATCAAAACATTAATATAGGATCAGTAGAAGAGTATTATAAAACAAATGTCCCCTCTCCCAACCTTTTTCATATGGTGATAGAAAAAAAATATAAATATTTGTTATATTTTTATCATGAAGATGTTAAAATATCTTATGATGCCTTATTAGCTGAATAATATGATTAAAAGATTAACTATGGTTGATACAGTCCCAAAAAATGCTATGGATGCTTTTTATTTCAAACACATTTTAGATTATACTCCCAATTATTAAAATGGTTATATATATATTAGCAGCTCTTTAGTAAACTAATGAGAGAACATTCACTTTTTTAAGAAGAATAACAGAGCCTTGCAGAGGTACCATTTGCAGGACCAGGCCCAGATTTTATTTTAAAATTTTTTCCGGCCCAGGTTTTTTTTAAAAAAATTTTCAGGCCCGGCCCGGCTGGTTTAGCCCGAATTTTTTAAAATAAATTATATTTATTTTTGATATTTATAGCGAATAATGGCGATTTCAAATATTTGGTTTTAAAATATACAACTCGGCTCGGATACTTTTTCTTAAAAAATTTTCAGGCCCAGCCTGGGTGTTTTTAAAAAAAAAATTACGAGCCCGGCCAGGGTATATTTAAAAAAATTAAAATACGGTCCGGCTCAGGGGCCGGGCCTGCAAGTCTGTGAAAAACATACCTATGAAATACAACATCTGAAAGTAGATTGAATGATTTGGATCTTTTGAATATTCATAGACATTTAACGCCAAGCAAGGATTGATAATTGAAAAATTAGCTCAAAACATACAAAATACAATTATTCCTAAGAAACTTTTTGTGTATTAATTTATATTTACAACATTTAAATTTTTTATACTTTATATATTTTAAAAGCTCAAAAAATTCAAATTTCAATTTTGGGTCATTTAGGTGATTCATATCGTGGGTTATATTCACTTTATATTTTATGATTCACATTTAAATGCCGGTTTATATATATAATTTTTTTAATTCACATTAGTTTAAAATTGTGTATTAGAAAAGTTATTAATCCTAATAAATTTATGCTTAGTATTTTTAATTAAAAATATTATTTCTTAAAAAAATTTATTATCCCCCCCCAGACCAAATTCCTGCGTTCGCGCCTGAAAACTAGTATTGAAAGAGGTATGGATAGAATAATAGCTTAGTCAAAAATTTTTTTAGTCATATCATTTGACCTTCAAAATGTTATAACATTACCAAGATCTGAGGTTTGGTCTTCATATAAAAATAATTTGAAAAATGAGATAAAGATTTCATAATTGATCACATAAACACCATTCCAAAAGTCTATTCACATTACAGGCAAAAATATTCTTAGGAGTACTTGAGAGAAGTCTCCATTATAAAATACCTCGATTTATATTCTAAAAAATGTGATGAATCATCATGAATTTCTGTTAAAGATAATTATTACATGAATAAATTAGAAATAATCAAGATATAGTGTTCATTCCAATGATATGAAGTTATTATTTATATATATTATTAAATTCTAATAAAAAAATATAAATGAAGTATTTTGAACATCAAAAATAAATCATAAAGTGTTATAATTGCTTCACTTGCATTTTGATTTTATCAAATAAATTTTATATTAAAAAATTTTTTTTTAGGTAATAATTAATTAACAATGATAAATTATCTCTGAAAATTTTAATTAAATTGATCAATAAGTTTTTCCTATATTTGATTTTAATGTTTTTTCTCATTTTAAACATTTGCGCAAGTGGCACACTCCAATTCTTGACCGATGATATATAATATTGGTGCCGTTCTCTTCTAGAAAAAGAAAAAAGAAAACTAACGATCATGGATCATTAAAAAAAGGTAAAAAAAAATAAATATATTTGTATGTAATGTATAAAATTAAAAATAAGAAAGTAGAGAAAAATTGGAATAGATGGAAGGGGAAAAAAGAGAAATTTAAATGCAATATGTTTTGAAAAGATAAATAATGTATGAATTTAAATAAAAAAAATATTAATAGATAGCTAGCAGAATTTCTGCACAAGTATCTAATATACTTCTTCCATTACAATTTGGGATTGGTACGAGCTCAGGCTGTAAAGCAGCTGCACATATAACGCGCATTTATGCTCAAAATACCACAGCTGTCCAACATCTTGTAAAGATCGATTTTATGCTTACAAAAGTATTCATAGACAAGCAATAATCTAACAATTTATAAAACATTTCTCACTTTTCACAAACTATATCCTCTCATCTTATAAGAAACCATCACATTTGGTATTTGGCCATCATATCATAACCTCTTCCGAAGGTATTCAGCAAGGTGATCCCCTAGGCTTCATATTATTTTGCCTTGGTATCCATGATTTGATTACTAAAATAAACAATAACTGCACGCTACCCTTACACTTATGGTATATTGATGATGGGGTCATATCTGGCGAATCTGCAGAGGTAATAAAGGTTATCAATATTATTAAGACTTCTACTGACAGCCTGGGACTCGAAATTAATCAAATCAAAACTGAGCACTGCGATGTTAATACAATTCCGTAAAACGTTTTTGGTTTTGAGCATGTCCCCTTGAAAAATCTATCACATTTGGGCTCCGCCATTGGTGAGGAGTCAATGAATTCTTTTTTTTTAGCTATATGGACGATATCTTTGAAAATTTAAAAAGCATTCTTCCTTGTCTTTCGGCTCACAAGGCCTTTTTTTTAATTTGGAATTTCTTTAACATCCCTATAATCCTTTATGCCCTACGATCGAGCCCATTATTTTTAGAGAGGGAGCATTCAGTGAGATTCGAAACCAGAATAAATGTCATCCTTAGCGACTGCTTAAATATCAAATTTACAAGCATAGCTTGGCATCAAGCCACATTTCCTTCGAAACATGGCGGCCTTGGTATAAGATCCCCATTGTCGATCTCAATATGTGCCTTCATTGCCAGCCACCTTCAGGCACGTATTAATTGACTAACATCTATCGGTTCACGATCCTTTTTTGAATACAGCTAAGATAGAATGGGCAAAATCCGTCACAACCTCAACCCTATTTCCGATCTCTGTGAAGCAGAAGGATTGGGATTTACCACTTGTGAAAAACTCCGTTGATTACCTTATTTCGAGTCTCTCACCGTGATCCACATTGAACTTATTAAAGATCGGGGATATGAATTTTTAGATGTTATTCCATCTACCAATCTCAAACTCGAATTAGACAACCATGAGCTCAGTTATGCTTTATGTATAAGGCTCAACATTCCCTTTTCATTACCATATAAATGCAGCAAATATCATACTGTTGATGAAAATATAGCGCTTCATCCTCTACATTGCAATCGTAATCCCGGCCGGCAAACTTGACATTTTGCAATCAAATTATATCTCTTGCACTTAGGTCAGCTGGTTTTCCTACCTATTTTCCGATAGTAGGCGTCCTGATTGGATCACACGTATTCCATGGTCTCAAGGAAAGTTTTTAATATGGGATTTCTCTTGTCTGGACACTAACTCCCCCTCTAATTTTAACAAGGACGCTCTGAACAGAGCTCAAAATTTTAAGATCAGCAAATACAGCGCTGATTCCTCAAATTACATATTCATACCCATCATTTGCTCCACCTTAACTACATATGGTGATTTGGCTAAAAACTTTTTTAAAGACGTTGGCCGCCTAATTAGAAAAAATTATGGGGAGCCTCGCGAAGGTTTTTACTTAATGCAGAGGATCGCAATAGTCATTCTTAAGGCTAATTATGATTGTTTTATTAATTAGATCTCTCTTGATGATTAGATGAAGGAGGTTTTGAATAATTTCTGCTGCTTTCGCTTTTATTTGTTTATTTAGTATTATGCCTCAATATTGTCCTTTTGTTATTATGATTTTTTTTTTCGCAATTGTTTACTAATTATATATTTTTCATATATAAATATAAATACTATATTAACAAAAAAAAAATTAGATGAATTAAAAATTATAAATTTATAAATTAATTGATTTTATTTTAGAAATTGGAAATTATATGAATTTAAAAATGATATAAAATGAAAGGAGTTTATATTAATTAAGCTATAAAAATAAAATGTTAAGAAAATATTTATATACATGAAGTTTAGATTAAGCATAAATATAAGATTGAGGTTAAGCATTTAATATATAAAGTATGATTGAAAGTTGAAGAAGTTGTGGGTTAAGATGTTTTGATATTTAGTTAAAATTTTAGATATATAAATGAGTAATAGTATAATATTTTATATATATATTAATAGTTTATATAGTTGAAAGAATTAAATTTTAAATGTATAATATAAAAGTAAAGTTAATGAGAATTGTAAAAAATTATAAAGAAAATTTGGTTCCAATTAAAAAGGAAGAGAGGGGAGTAATAGTATAATATTTTATATATTTTAATATAGTTTAATATTTTATATATATTAATAGTTTATATTGTTGAAAGAATTAAATTTTAAATGTATAATATAAAAGTAAAGTTAATGAGAATTGTAAAAAATTATAAAGAAAATTTGGTTCCAATTAAAAAGGAAGAGAGGGGTGAAATTCAATAAAGTGTTTATTTTAAAAAATGAATTTTTATAAGTTATTTGAAAATTTATATTTGAAAATTGAGCAAATAAAAGATAAGAGAGAAAATAAAGTATGGGTTTAATAGGTTTTCAATTATCTTAATTGAGCAAATTAAAATAGATGATAAAAAGGTTAAGCATGGGTTTAAAAGAGTTTCTTTTTTAGGTTTATTTTAGAGGTTGGTGGTATATAAATGGAACAACCATTATATATTACTGTGATATAGGTTTAGTTTTAAAAGTTAATATAAATGGAGGAACCATTATATATTGCTGTGATAAAAGTTTACGTTTAAATTTTTTTTGGGGGAACCATTGGATATGGTATAAATTACTATGATAAAAGTGTACATTTGGGAAAAATTTTTGGAACCATTGGCTAAGATAGGGGTAATAATAATTTTTGTGTAATATGTTTTGATTTTAATTTTTAAACATAGTGTTTTGATAGTAATTTTTTGTATTATTTTGTAAACCTTAAGACTCATAATGGTGGTATAGGTTTTCCGTCATAGGAAATGGAGACCTAACGTTATGCAGGACAGAAAAGATTGCTTAATATTTAATTTTGGGATTATTATTAATATAAAAATAAATTTGAAATATAGTGTAAAAAAAGAATATAGTGACAATATTGATATTTTTTTTAAAAAAATGATGAAATGAAAATTATGAAACATTTTGCTAATGTATTTTAAAAAAATGAAATGAAAATTATAGATATGAAATGTTTTAATATTGTTGTATATAAAAAAAGAGTGATAAATAATAAAAAGAAAAAAAATATATGTGCTGAAATAAAATGTATGCAAATTCCAGATATGAAAGTTAGATTTAATAAACTTATACTAAGATGAATTGAAAGTCAAGAATGGGTCATAAATAGTTTAAGTTTTTAAAAGAAGTATAATATTAAAGGTTTATATATATATATACATGCATAATATTGTGTGTATATGAAGGTAAATTAATAAAAATATTTTTGATTTTATATGTATAAATGTGGATTCATATATATATGTAAAGGATAATAATGGAGGAAGCCATTAGATAATAGAATATTTTTATGTTTAAAGAGGAAGCCATTAGATGATATTAGAATATTTTTATGTTTAAAATTTTGAAAGTTATATAAATGAAGGAAATTTGTTATTTAATATTATTTTGGAACCAAGGAAAAGGGAGGAAAGGAATCCATTATATAATAAAGTCTCATGTGAATATTGGGATCAGAAATTTTGCTAATATCTGACAGGGAAAATGTTAAAAGAAAAAAATAAAGTATACATTTTGGATATAGTTAAAAATAATAATATTTGACTGACTTATTCTTTGTAATATTTTGCCCAATCAACTACAATGATGCTGGATTAATGATACCAAGCTTAAGATAGAATGAACATGACTGACCAATGATGCAATGGATCAATCAAGCTATGACTCATTAACCATTAAGACTTAATGACAATCAACAGTACAATATCAATCAAGCTATGACCCGAATGCCGTTAATTATAATCAACAACTCAATGACAATTATATATGAAAAATATAGAAATTCCTGGAACAGAAAAAAGAAAATTAATAATAATAATAATTTTTATATTTCTTTTTGATCATATATTAGAATTTATGTAGGTATTTACTTACACTATATTTATATATACGTAAGTTGTATTCTTTACCCCCCCCCCTATTTGTATCTGTCGAAATATAATTATGGACGTTTTCAATTGATTTCGAAAAAGAGATATATACATTTTTTTATCTTTGTTTTTAGATTTGTATTATGTGATAATATTATTATTGGTAATATATTTATGAAATAAAAGAAATTGTGGAATTATTTTTGGGAACCATTATAAAACTAAAGATTTAATGTTTTATCATACAGTCGACGGAATAAAAGGTAAGGTTCAATTTATATAAAAATTTTAAAAGTATACTTTTATTTTTTAATAATAAAAATAAATCAAATTCCCCTTTACATTTCATAATACATACTTAGTACAATCCACTATCTCTATAGTTTTTAGAAGTTTGATCTTAGAGAGTGGGTTGCGTTGTTACTAGTGTTTATTATCCATTTATTTATATCAAAAATACTTCAATTAATATATAAATTTTAGAAACAAATAAAACAAATCTATAGAAAATGAGAGTAAATAAAATATATTCAAATTGTTATACATTATAAATTGATTCTACCTCGGTGAGTATTTTGATTTCCTTCATAGTCTTTCCTTAATTTGCAACGCAAATCAGTGCCTTGTAAAGCTTTCAAAAATAATTCTTGTGATGGCCGATTTTGCCTATTAATATGACAATATATTAAACTTGTATAGTCATAAATGTAAAAAATTTAAAGTTACTGTCACAATTATATATGATTGGAGCTTGATCTATAAAAATTAGGGCTGTGCCGATATTAAATATCGGATCGATACCGATATTTAACGTTTTCCAAAAATATCGGATCGGATTGATACCTGTAAAAAACAGATCCGATCTTTATACTTTTCTTTTTTGTTATTTTATATATATTAATTTACATTATTAATATTTTTTAAATAAATTTTTTAAAACAATGCAAATGCACAACACCCCTTAAATTTTATTTATTTTTTAAATAGATATATAGTATTTTAATTATTTTTTAAATAGATATATAGTATTTTAAAAGTTTTTTATAAAAATAGAAAGGAACATCCAAAGTTTTATTTATTTTAAATCTTTTTAAATAATAACGCCAATTTTATTATTTATACTTTAAATAAAAGAATATTATTAAATATGGTATCTGAATTATGGGAATATTTTACAAAAGGCAAAGATAATTTAGCAAAATGCGTTATTTGCAGAATTCTAATTTCACGGGAGGAATAATGAAAAATTCATTTAATACTACCAATATCCGTAAACTTATTTTAATTATTGTAGAAATAAAAAAATTAAATTAAATGCATAATTCGATTTTTTGCATAAAAAATATTGATTTCATAATTACATTTGGTTTAATTGGGGGTGGTGAAAAATCAATATAAATATCGGATCGAATCGGTGAAAAATATGTGGATCGGCACAGCCCTAATAAAAATGTAAATCAAATAACATCTTCGTATTAAAATTTTAGAATCAAATGCGATTAGTTTTTGTATGAATAGTGAGCTATTATTCAATTGAATTGGAAAATTACATTTATTTAAATGTTGAAAATGATAAAATGAAATATTCCTTTAAAAAAATGATAAAAAGTGTGGAGACAAAGTTAAAAAATAATAATAAAAAGTTCCATAATGAATATGTTATATACGTACAATTTAATCCAATAACGAAAATAATTCGATGATTAATTTTTTTCACTATTCATAATAGAGTAAATTATTATATGTAATGTTTTAGTCACGTGTTTTATCTGAATTAAGTATGTGTTATTCTTAAGGCTGAATCGATAATTTTGCCGATATTAATTAATATAGAAATGTATCTCAAGAGTAAGCATAAGATTGGACGCTTAAATTATTGTAAAAAGGTATTAGAATCGGCCGACTAAAAATCTGTTGTTAAAAACCAATTCAAAATATAAGCTGACTTCATTTGGTGATCCTGACTCTCCTTAAAATATTTATGTTTTATAACTTATTTAAAGTATCATTAACATTCCAAGATGGTTATACATCAAAAATATTACTGCTTCCTATCTTATGTTAATTATACATATTTATAAACAGGCCATTTTAATTTAAAAAAAATATAAGTACGTTTCTAGTTATATCTTGTATTCAAGAGTTAATATATGAATTTCCAAATATTCATGCATATTTCAAATTCTGCAATAGTATAATGTGTATGCCACTCAATCCGTTCAAGGTGGCTCTGCTTAGTAATTTTTTGAAATATAATTGTGATAAATTTATTAATTTTGAATAAAATTTATTCCTAATTTAAAACTTTTTTAAATTGTAGTTAAAAATTTGTAACAGTTTTTTTGAATAGTTAGCAAAATTATTATTTTAAAAGCGTTACATTTTATTGTATGGTTTAAGTCCAAGGATATTTCAGAAATTTAAAATGGGTAGTTGTTTTAATTTATTTATACTAAATTAGATTGAAATTTTTTCCCAATACTCAAATTTATACTAAACCCATTGAAGAAATATAAATAATCCTTTAGAGAATATAATATGTAGACCTGTGCTTTTTTGGGTATGCCGAAAACGCCACCGTTTATTAAAGTCACGCTGGCGGTGGGTCATGGTTTACACAGGTTACATTAGATGGTATTAAAAAGGTAACTGTTGTTGAAAATCTTATTAAAAGAATTAGAGAAATTATTAATGCTATAAGATATAAAGCTGCAGAGATGAAGATATAAAGCTGCAGAGATGAAGATATAAAACAGCAGAGATTGAATTTGAGGCAGATCAAAGAAAAAACTTAGGTACAAAAGATCTAACATCAAACATGTTAGACCTTGATAGCACTGATCCATACTACCCATTTTTAAATATTTTTCACGCATATGAAAACCTTAAAATTAAATGTCCCAACACGTTGGTATAGTATATTAATTATGCTAGAAAGCATCTGGATTAAATAAGAATTTAATTAAAAATGTTTTGAAAAGAATTGTGAAATACTTTATCAAATTATCAAACTATGAATCTGATCTGGTATAAAAACTATTAGCATTTCATTTAAAGAAACTGTTGAATTTCTATCAGTAAAAAAAGGGCCTATGTTAAACTTAGTGTTACTTTTTAGAGGTGAAATTGAAACACATTTAATAGTAAATGATAGTGTTAGTTCTAAAATCAAAGGAAAATATGCTAAAAAAATTTAAGTTACGATTTCCAGTTTGTAATCTGCAAATAATATAAAAGTATATTCATTTATTTAATCTATTTTTTATTTAAAAAATTATCTAGGTATTGATTTCTCTTTTAAATCCAAGATTTCAAAAATTGGCAATTAATAGAACAAAATCACTCAGCTTCAGAATTTATAATAAAACATTTTAAACTTATAGAGAATGATGATATTCAGGAGAGAATGATGATATTCAGGTAGTAAATATAGATATTGAGGATCTAATGGAATTATTAAATTCAATTATTTGACAAAATAATAAATAAACATTCAACAAATACAAATTATGATTTCACTTTAGATGACAGAACAAGAATGTCACATTCTTCTTGGAAAATGACATTCACAAGATATGGATGTTCTAGATTTATGGAGAGAAAAGAAGAGTGAACTTCCCAATCTTTCCAAGCTCCCCAAAAAAACACATTGAGTGAAAGAGTTTTTTCTACCACTGAATTGACGTTGAATTCAAAGAGATCATCTCATCATTTTGCCTCAAAAATTTTAATAAAATAATTTTTATACATGATAATATAAAATTACAAAATCAGTTTTGGATTTATGAGTTTTCTCATAAATAAAGATTAAAAAATATGCCAAAATATCTGTAGTGTAGTATATATATTTTATTTTTTGAAAAAAAATTATTAAGCAATTAAAAAATATATTATAAGAATTTATAACTGCACCAATTTATACCATTTTTGTTGATGGCGGCTAAAAATCGGCATGCCACCAGCCATTGATTAGATTTTTAAAATCGTGCTGGCCACCGATAGTTTTGTCAGCACACAGGTAATAATAGATTATTGATTTATATTATATGAATAAAATTTGTTGAAAATGGAATGAAAGGGGAATGTGAAATTCTCTTGTTATGGGTCTACAATTATATAGTATTCAAAATGGGGAAAAATAATGTATTTCTAAATTCTAAACTGCTTAATTAAATTTAAATTTATATATTTTTTATTATTGTTGAAAGAGTTTAAAAATTATATTATATCACCTTTTAGTAGCATTATCAATTTTAACAACAGCAGATTGTATAAGATTTGGAGAAGAGAATTCAGTATAGTCACTAAGGGACATATTTTGGTCATTGCTATTATCTGTTTTGTCTACCATATTACTTGATTTCTGATTTATGACAGTGCTACCTTTATCATAATTATGTTTAAATGTTTCTACAGTCTGCATATTTTCATTGCTTTTAACATTTATAGTAATGGAATTATTAGAGGGTAAAGGATTTTTATCATGATTGTTCTTCAAACTATTTAATGAGGAATAAGGATTGTTATCAATTGGAGTTTCATTTGCCCTAATTTCAATAGAATCCGAAACTATGGAATATATAACTTCACCTGAAACTGGTTTAACATAGTCAACTATTTCATCTTTTAAAGGCAATGTTGAATTTATTCTTTGTCTTTTGCTAAGATCCAAATCATAATTTTTATTATCTGATGCCTTAATTGCCAATTCAGGGGATATGTGAGATCTCTTTTTATATGAGTATGAAGACTCATTTGAATTATGTTTCTGTCCAATAATAAATTTTTAGAAATATATATATTATATTAATTTTTAAAAATTACATTCTCTAGAAATGGTTCCTGATGATTATAATTATTTTTCATTCTGTCATAACTACTATCCACATCCGATTTTCTCTTATGAGCAGTAGAATGTTGTGTTTTTCGTGAATGCATTACTATAGTAATATTATATATTAAATAATGTTATAATTTTATAATATACTTGTTTCATTTTTTTTTAATTTTTCATTATCTTCTCTTTTTTCTTTATATTTTTGTGATCTTGATTCTTTATGTTTTTCATGTTTCTTCTCATCTTATATAAAAATATTATAACTATACAATCCAATTATATACCATGATTTAATGATTGAAGGTTTTCACAAGTTTTAAATAACCTAAATAAATTTAAAAATAAGCATTTAAAAAATTATATTTACCATTTAACAAATGTTTCAGAATGCTCATTTAAAAATAAATTTAAATCCTCAATCATTTGCTTTGCATTTTTTTTGTTTATCAATAACACAGTTATATAATCTATTAGTTCTTCATCTGGAGGAAAATAAAATAATTTTGAATATATGAATATAAATTATTACCAACATAGACATCTAAATCAGTTAATTTTGATTTTATCAGTTTCTATAAAATAATTATAACAATAAAATAATACATATTGAAATTTTTACTCTTATTTTTGGCAGAAAATTGTCTTTTTCCATTTTAAGATTGTTACAAACAATATTCTCAAAAAAAATCAAACCAAATAAAAAGAAAACAGAAATTATGATTGACGCAGTTAATCTTGGGAAGTGACAGTGATGTCAATCTGTTTAAAATAATAGGCAATGACATATATAATACCTAGACTGACGATTCTTTTATTAAAATGCATTTTTAAGCGTCGTTAAATAGTAAATCCAGCTGGACCCGCCATTTTGGTGACACATATAGTAATGTATTCTCATGTTAAAGAACTACTATCAAATTGATAACTTGCTTCCTTATTACCTCGATGATCCCGGTAATTCTTTAATAAAGTTTGCATCAAATATATAAATATATAAATAAATTAGGCTCTCGTTTAAAATTTTAATAATGTTTAGTGTAACCAAGATGGCATATCCAACTGATTTGCATTGATGTACACTTTTAATGAATGAATCGTCAGTCTAGGTATTATATATGTCATTGAAAATAGGCAAGTAATATTGCTCATAAATATGTTTTGACATCTTTTAATAGGTCGAGGCTTACATATTATTAATTTGGCTAAAATCTTCATCTAAAATCAGCGAAATCGAGCCATTTAGTAATAATACCGTGACTAGAGAATCAGGTTAGATTTGTGTCTATTTTTAATAACGGCTCGATTAAGATTTTAGTTAAAAAAATATTAAAAAACGCTTGAATATTTTGCTTCTAGATGTCAGACAGGTTTGAACCTCTATTTTTTTAATCTCGAGGCTATAATATTTTTTTGGCTAGATTCTTAAACGAGACGTTTTTAAAAATATACTCAATCGAGTTTTGAACGACACTAATTCTGATAACCATAAGTCTACTTGACTTTTTTGCTATGGCTACTAAATTCTTAAGGTGTCAAAGCTAATAGCCAGGGACATCAATTCTTATGCATATATTTTAAAATGCGATAGAAAGTGAATTTTATATAATATAAAAGTATTCTTTTATTTTATATATCTTCTTATTATAATTAATTTATTACCTTTGTATTTTTTGTTCTATCATCTTATTACCAATTTTAGAAATTTTCTTATTTTGTGAATAACCTTTTGATTTTTAACTGTTTACAAAACGAAATGAATCATATCAAATAAACACTATTTAAACATAACATATTGGCCCACGCTTTCAAATTAATGTGTTTAAAAGTTGGCAAGCATGATGCTAAGGATGTGTTTTAATACAAGATTTAGATTCAAACAATCTTTGAAAATATACGCTGATTTAATATAACGATGTTTTAACTATTTTTCTTATTATCCATTCCGAAAAGAACAAATAATATTTAAGAATATAACATCAAAATTATTTCTGTAATAACTAAAAACAGGGTTTACATGACAGATTTTTTTAACTTTTATTATCCCTGAACCTCAGATTCGAAATATCTTCATGATCGGAACTAGTGATATCTCTAATTTAGTTAAAATTAAGTATTGATTTTAAAAGATGAAATTATTTTTAGAAGTTATTTTTTAAAAAAAAATAAATGGTAAAAATTAGTGCTGTAGAAATTTTTAAAAAAATCGAACGCGTTCACGTTCAAATTCAAAAAAAGGAACGCGTTCAAGTTCATGAACGCGTTCATACGTTCAAAATTTTATGATAAATTTTTTTTAAAATTTAATTTAATATAAATAAATGCCTTATATTTTTCAACACAATATATTAGCCATGATAAAAAATAATAGTTTTATTTTGATAATATAATTATAAATACAATATAATAGAGCGATAAAAAAATAAATTTATAAAAAAATTTTCTTATTAATTTTTAATAATAATTGCTTTTCAAAATTTTCATCTGATAGGCATGAACGCTTGTCAGTTAATACAGCGTTAGCTATACTAAAAACTCGCTCAACAGGGGCAGATGAAGGAATTGCGGTGTTATACTTGATAAACAATTCTTTTAAAAGGGGGAATTTATTAAAAACATTTAATGTTTTATCCATTGTTTCAAAAAATTGAGCTATGTTATCATCCTCCAATCTGCCCTCTTCTTCCTCGTCAAAAAAAAAGGATATCTCGGAATTGATTTTAAAACAGTGAAATATTTTTGATATTTGGGCTATGGTAATTCTAATTCATCTAATATTGAATTTTGATTTTCAGAATCTGATGATGAAATATTTATATCCATGCAAATGCTAATCTATTAAATTAAAATATAAAATATTCAAATTAATAAACTTTAATCTTATCTTCTCTAGCAGTAGCACTATGGTACGTTAATTGCAATATGAAAAAGGAAAAAGTAAAAACAGCTGATTAAAAAATATAAGACTTTTTTGTTAAAAAATTGGATTAAATATTAATTTTTCAAATAAATAAAAATATAAGACTTTTTTGTTAAAAAATGCGGATTAATATTAATTTTTCAAATAAATAAAAATAAAAAGTGTTTTTAAAATTGAACGAACGTAAAATTGAACGCGTTCATCAAAGAAAAGGAACGCGTTCACGTTCAAAGTTCGTCAAAAAAAAAAGGAACGCCGTTCATCACCTTTTTTCGAAAAAACGAACTTCGTTCACGAACGCGTTCATTTTGAACGAGTTCGTTTACAACACTAGTAAAAATAAATAAAATATAGAAAATAAATTCTTTTATATATTAAAAAAAATATAAACATTATTTGTTTCTCGCTAATCGCTATTTACTTTTTAAACTTAAAATTACACAACACATTCATTTGATTTCTTTTTTATTGAAAAAAATAAGAAATTTTATATTTGGTTCCCCGTATTTATTCTCTTTTAACATATTGAAAAAATTACACGAAAGAATACCGTATGAGCATGATTTTTTTCTTGTATTTCTTTTAAAAAAATATTCAATTTTAAATGTGAATCCTGCTTGTATTATTTTTAACAATTAACATATTGAAAAAATTACACGAAAGAATACCGTATGAGCATGATTTTTTTCTTGTATTTATTTTAAAAAATATGCAATTTTAAATGTGAATCCTGCATGTATTATTTTTAACAATTAACATAGTAAAATTTTAATTTTTTAATGTAGTAATAATATTAATTTTTCTAAGGTAGTAATATAATAACGTAGTAAAAATTTATTTTTAACGTAGCAAGATTATTATTAATTTTTTTAACCTAATTATATTAATTTTATTTAAGAATTTTTTAAAAAATATTACAAGGGAAGTACGTTTCGCCGCTGATATATTGGTTTACTTGTTATTTAGTGCTCCTATTTAATTTTAACATAATACCAATCATGGCAATTTTTTCATATTTTGCCATCAATTTTTTTTTAAACTATCTCCTTAACGGGTGGTTAATACTCAAGAAGTTTTAATTACTTACCTCTTAAAAGGTCATATCATAGTTTTTATTTAGCTTATAATGCTTTTATTTATTTACGGTAGTCAAAATTGATTTAAGAATTAATAAGTAAAGCACGAATAATGCAAATATGTTTAGAATTTCTATATTCTCCGATCTGGCATGATGCCAATTCTTTTTTTCCTATTTTACCAATATATTTTTTTTATTAATATAATACTGGCCCATCAGGTAGCCTGAAAAATATTACTTTTCTACTTCTCATTTTTCATTTTTCCTTAAATGATGATAATTACAATACATGGATTCAAAAAAAACAAGACAGTTATTTTTAAATCAGAAAGCGAAATCAAATGGCAAGAATTAGCCAAAATTATTAGCTATATCGGATTAAAATCAAACAATGAGAAAAGGTTTTCAAATACCGGCAGAATTTTAGGAGAAAGGGGAATAAGCGTCAAAATATTAATATTATTATCATTTTTTTTGGAAATTGATTTAATTTATGAAATGTTACATTTTCGAATTTGTAAATTGGCAATAAATATAATGAAATTAATAAAAATTATCTGAGCAATTGCTTTTAATGCACATTTTAATTATTAAGAATGATATTTGATCGTCAGGCTGCACTGACAGATTCTCTAATTTAATTAACTCCGGGATAGTACTGTTATGGAGCCAAAAAATTTATTTTGACGGACTCAAGGAGAAATGCATTTTTTAAATTTGTTATTCAAGTATTTTTGTATAAACTAATCAGATGAGTATAACGGTATTTTTGTTACGAGGAAGATGTATAAGTTTTAATTGATTAATGAAGTATTTTGCCAAGCTAGAGTGGACAAAATATTTTATCTACCTCGTTTTTAAAGGAACTTGTGTTGAAATTCTCTTTTTATGATCATCAGGTGTTACATTTATTTATATATTCTATTTGGTTGATAGATGATGTCTTGCATACGTATGGGTCCAAGTCGAGGACGCCTGAAGTCGAATAAGATTAGGCTCTTTTAGACCAGATTTAATTTTAAAATCATGATATTTTAGCTTCCTCTTTCCTTGTTGTATTGGATTCAATTCCATGAAATTCTATTTTTTTAATTCTTTTTCTATAATTATTAAAATGGAAGCTCCATTTTTATAACTAAAATCTCTTCTATCTAGCAATTTATCTATATGTATAAAAGTTTGGGAATTTATTTATGCTAAATTTCTAATGGTTTAGAGAGTATAATTCATAATAAATAAAAATTTTAGCACTTTCACATTTTTCATATGAATTGTCAAGTTTTTTTTTATTTAAAAATAATATTCTTTATATATCTGGAATATTATTTATTTAAAAAATATAATCTTTACTGATACCAAAAAAAAACAGATATAAATGATTATTAAATATTAGCGATCTTTTAAATGACTACCATGTCATATGATATCCGACTTTGACAAATATATATATATTATATAGCTAATTATATATAAAATTGTTATTAATAAGAATTATTTATTTGTTAAAATTTGTTTCAAAGGATATATAGTTCTAGGAGTTTGTATTGATAGTTAGAATTACTTATTATCGATAAATTTATCCACTTTTTTTCTGTACCGCTTTGCGTTTATTTTTTGTTTGGTTGTCGTCTTAACATTATTTTAAAATAAATAATAAATAGAAGATAAATAAATAAATTATTTATATAAACCCCTTTTATTATTATTATATAAGATTGTAATATCTGATATTAATTAAGATCATAAATATCCTAAATATGAGTTTATTTATTAATGTTTTAAACAATCACGTTTAATCTGAAAGCGTTCGTGAATATAAGTCGTTTGAATTTTAGAAAATTTTTGAACTCAAAATTGTTCATTTCTTAACTAACGCATATTTTTATTATTCATTCAATTAAAAAGGTATAAATATGTGTTTCCTTCAAATATTTTTAGGCGCGCGTTCCTTTCTGACTAGTGTCTCTTTAAATATAATATGGTTTATATTTTATTGTATATAAGTTAATAAATTTGTTTATAGATAAAATAGTTTCTACTCAGATGATATATCTTTGCAATGACCTAATTATTTCAATTTAAAACAAAATATTAAAATATAGTTAATAATATAATATTGTAGTAGATCATGGATTCTAGACACCACATGTAAATCTAAGCATAATATAATAAAGAACAGTCTATTATTTCCTCCATAATTATATCCGGTATTTAAACTCCAATAGTCTTAGATTAGGGACTAAATTTATAGGAATATGATTATAATTGTAGCAATACCTACTTCCTAGTCAAGTAAAAATAAAGAAAAACAATTTTTATTAAAAATTATTAGAAAAAATAATTTAATTTACAAATGTTATATTTTATATATTTTTTTAATATTTATACACAAAATCAAAATATTAAATCCAAAGGCTACATGTTGCTAATAATTATTAAATTAATTTTAATAAATTATATTTTTAGATATGAATATACGTGAAAACGTTTACTAATTTGAACGCATATCTTTTTTTCATAGGAATTTTGAACGCGCACATATTCGTTTTTTTTATCAGAGAACGACGAACGCTAACGAATTCGTTTTTTGTAAAAATGTTTGCAGTACTCATATTTATAATACTATAAGAAATTCATCTTAAAATATTTCACTGAAAGAAGCTGGAATACGATTATAATCTATCGTGGATGTTGAGGATATGGGTATGGTAGGCTCTGTGGTCTCATCTTCTTCATTTTCCTCTTCTTCCCTAGTCTTTTTATCGTTATTATCAGTGTCTTCGGTTGAGGTTAAGTCTTCGGGCGAGTTAGTAGAATAAGAAGCGACTTCTGACTTTGTATTATCATTGTCCTCATGATCACCAGATTTTGTAGTAGTTACCTCACTTGAGTCAGATGATTCAGTATTTTCTTCCGAGCTAGATTCTTGGGTTGTAGATGACTCTGAGCTACTCTCTTCTTGAGTCTCTGGAGTTGTCGAAGCTTCTTCGTCATCGAATTTCCTATCAAATGTGTGAAGAGGGGCTGACTTGGATTCCTTTAATTTATAATAAATCTGACGTATGTATTTGGTATAGGTATTCACATTGTTATAATTAAAAGTATCTTAAAATTACCTTATTTTCTCTTTCGTACAAATCCCTGTAATCCTCCGTAATCTCTTCTTTATCGTTGATCGGAATAAAAGGTAGGAAATCAATATCATCACTATTGTCGCTAGTTATTTGCGGATCCATAAAATCTTTGATTGTAGCTTGAACATGTTCCACCTAATAAATGTGTTAAAAATTTTTTATACAATATAATTTGTACAATTGACTAAAGCGATGTAACTTATGAGCCTTTCATTCATGATAAGTTAAATATAACCTACTTTTTGGGTACCCTTTTTGTATGATGATACATAACCCACCATAAAATTATTTTTTCAAGTAAGCTTTAAATAAGAATTTTGATATAAAATAAACAATTGGTTAATGTATTCCATTTTTATAAAAAAGATGCAAAAATATGTCATAACAAGTGAATATGACCCCTTTTTTCTATGTATTTAAATTTAAAATATAATAACCTTTACAAATATGTTCTTTAAAAAAAAATAGCCCATCACAATATTATAAATTGTTGATAAGCAAATTACTGAACTCTAAGAATGAAATAGAAAGATGGTATATAACTTAAATTTATTATCATCTATCGATTTTGATATCAGCTGAATATTAATATAAAATTACCAACATGATTATATAGAATATTTGTTTATTGCGGGAAAAATTTTTTATAAAATTTTAATAACTTTTCCATAGTCATTAAGAGATTTGCTATTGTCATTATCTTCTTTATTGAAAGTGTAGTATATGCCAGGATTCATTTTCTTCTTGGAAATGAAATGAGGATTTTTTAATGTATGAACCTTTTTTCCGATATCTTTCATGTAGGGGTGATCATAATATTTGCTCCTTAAAATCTCGCTATAATGAAAATATAGCATTATAATTGTAGAGCAAAGAAAAACATATAATATAAAGTATTGTCAAAACTCAAAAGGCAACCTAAGAAGTTATTTAATTTACACATATATTTAAATATATTCTGCAAGTTAATAACTTTAATTTAAGTTTGGGTAAATAATTTTTATATCGTTATTTTTAAAATTTGATAATAGTATCAGGATATATTATACACACTCACATCTTTGGAGTGTAGGGAGGGGGGGGGGGAAGTATGCCCTGAATTGTAAAACTGAACGTGCCTAAAATATTTTTAAATATAAAATTGTATTGAACACACGTCTACATAAATTTTTCATTTTTGATATATCAATTTATATTGTTTATAAAATTTTGGTTTTTTCCTTTGGATTTTACTTTACTAAAGATTGAAAAGGGAAAAGATCAAATTCAAAATACATATATTAATCTCTCATGTTCAACTATCGATATGGGACTAGATTGCATTTTACTTTAACCGCCTCATATATTGCCAAAGAAGAAATTGACATAGAAATGGAGATTGAATACCTAACTTTGCTTCAAAAATATACTAAATGTAATAAATGTAGGGGATGAAGGCTTAAATTTCACCATAAAATTTAAATAAGCTAGAGAGAGGAACATTGAAAAATATAGTAGCTGCTATGACAAAGGTATTGTATCTTCTATAATTGATAAGATTATACTTATATGACTAGAATAAATTACCCGTTGAAACTATTACTAAAATTATTGTAATAAATCTTTGAGAATTATTAATAAATTTTCATTAAAAAAATCCATTACTACTGCAAATTTCAAAAATTTATCTCTCCATATATATGGTTTACTAAGTAAATAAACTGGATATTCCTTATTAAATAAATAAAAGCAATTCTTAGCAATTTTATTTTCTTCAGTAAAGGTTGGAAATTATAGCTTTTAGCACCTTACTTATTTTAAAAAATAATATAAGCTGACTAATTTCAAAGGAAGAGTTTTATAACATTGCTAAATATAAATATATATTTTAAAAATATTAACCCTATATCAGGTATTTCGTCATGTGAATATACTTCGCCATCATATCGATCTTTTTCTTAATATAATTATATAATGAAAGAATTATAATAATTAATTTCAATAGTTCATAGTAATATTTTTGGAGTACTAAATACAAGAGATTGTAATATTATACAAGATATTATTATTATACACAAACCAGTACTGTAATGAAACGTCATTAATAAAGTTTTTATTTGGGTAGAAATGGAATGTCATATTATTATTATTATTTTGAGTATACTTTAAAGAAAAATTATCAAAATAAATTTAATTATATAACTTTATTTTATATATTTCTAAATTTTATTATAATTATCCAACTATTAATTTCAGCCGAGTTTTCAAGATAAAATATTTTTCTAACAAAGTTTTATGCTCTTTCCTTTGTGATTATATTTTCGAACTGACCACATTTCATTTTTCAAATTTTATGCAAAATCAAGGTTATTAAATTAATTATATAGTATATTATTTTGGGGTAATGAGTTAGATCTTGTCCTGACAACCTATTTTTGAAACTTATTTCTGTTAGACCAGTCTATTCATAGAATTAGGATGTCCTATTTTGTTTGGTTTTATGGGGCACTAAATCGAAATTATTTTTATACTAGGAAGCTGTATAGACGGCTAAACAAATTTTTGCTCAGATATAAGATGAGTCGTGACATGGCTTAAGGTTATATTTTAAAAAAAATACCTAGAAATAGTAAGGCGTTTTTTTACAGACAAAGAAACGAAAAAGTAACATTTACAGTACTGGTAAATATATATGCTCCCGACAATGTACGTAATCAATTATTAATGTTTCTTTCAATCCGCGAAGTTTTAGTATATATATTAAAAATTACTCAAAAATTCATGACAAAATTGTCTGAAATTTATATAATAGGTATTCATACTAGAAAAAATCGTCGGCAATAATCAGATTTTCAAATATTAATCAAATTAGCGCAACAAATTTTGATATTCAATCTTTAAATAATTTATTATGATGCATTTTAAAATTTTAAAGACAGATTTTATCGGAAATATATTTTAGTATATCTGTTATTATCTATCCGCTCGCCCATCCGCCCATGATATTTATATAAAAAATCACTGGTGCTCCCCTTTTAGACTAATACCCAGTGTCATTTTCAGATCTCTATCACACATATTGCATGAATACGCACATTGCCGGTAACAATATGTGCTTACATTATTCATACCAGTATTAGATGAAGAGGGCAAATATTGTTCCTTTTCGAAGTCTGAGTCAAGTTCGCTAACACCTTTATTTTTCTAGAAAATATATTAATGCATGTTGAGCTTATAAAAAGAGATATTATATAAATTAAAAATTAAGGATAGACAATGACTTTTCCAAGGAAGCAAAAATGCTCAGAACGTTGAAATTTATTCAGTTAAACAGATATTTACCACAATACCTCTTATATTATGCTTCTAGAGAGTAGGGAGTACATATATATGTCGCAACTGGAAACGGAATCCATGAGGACTGAGAATCTCGCATTTTTAAATCATTTATTGAGGGTGTTTATTTTAAAAAAATTTGATTTGACCAGAAATGCTTTATGTGGAATTTCGAGCAATGTTACCATTAACTTTTGACCTACTCTTAATTTATATTACTTATTTAATCAATTTTTTATATAAATTTTAAAAAAATATAGGGAAAGTTTTATAACAAAATTGTCTAAAATTTACAGTGAGGGTACTATATACACGTTGGAACGCATTTCCATTCATCAGATTTTTTAAATTTATAAATTTTCCTTAATTAAAGATTCAAGATTGATATTCCGTGTCATGGATCCCCTATCCCGTTAAGTTATATATTATCGAGAAGCGAAACTAAATCCAGGCGTATTATCTCTAAATTATTTTTTCTTATGTAAATTTTACGCGCTTAACATATTTTCTACTTTGTATATTCATTTATTCTTTTTAGCATGCTTAAATAGAGGGATCCAAATCGTAATGAATATCGGTTCGGTTCAGGTAAAATAACGATTCATAGTTCAGGTTCAGTTAGTAAAGAATAATAATATAAGCTCGGTTTAATCCTTTAAATCGGTGTATTCGATTTATGTAAAAAAATAGGAATATTTTTTTAAAATTTATTACTATTCTCTAAAATGAATAATTGAGCCCTAGATAATTAAAATATATTCAAGATTTTCTTTGTCAAATTATATCTATAAAAAGGAAGAATAAACTTCAGGGCAGAGAACACTTCTATATGCTAACTTGGGTAGCGGGAACCGTCAATTAGTGAAATAGAAAAATTTCTAAAAATAATTATTGATACTTTTTAGTCGAGACTCATTATTATTCATCTTTATAAGAATTAAAATATCAAAAGGTTCAACCCGGTTCACAGGCATTTTTAGCTATTGGGTTTCGCTTTAGTTAATTATAGTGGTTATTACCGGTTTAACTGTTCGGTTCAGGGTTGGTTTGAATCCCTGCTTAATGACAAATAGAAAACCTGAAACTGAAAATGACTTTAAAATTCGGATTGGGACCTTATTTAGAGTAATTAGTTAAAAAAAATTCCTCTTATCGTAATCAATAGTTTTAAAAAAAATAGGCTATGTTCTTAATTTAAAGGCCTTTAATATCAAAAATATTTTTTCATTGATTTCCGATGCAAAAATTTAATAACATCAGTATCCTGATTTTCCGCCTTATTTGTTTTGCTATTAGCACCTTCGCGTAGGTAGGTTGGAACAATAAATAATTCATCATCGATTCCCGTATTATTTGTACCCGAAGTTTTGTTAATGAAAGTAGAATCATCAATTGGAATCGAGTTTGTTAGGAGGGCCAATAGAAATAAAGCGGCCAAAATTGATAATAACTTCTATTATTGGTTATAAGATAAAAAAAATTGCTTTATAGTTAATTAAATATTTAAATATATTAAATGACTTCTTATTTAAGATTTTAAAAAAAGAATTTTTATTGATTTTATTTTGAGATTAAATCAAACTAAACGTTACTATATTGATAGATGGATAGACTTTAATATAAAAAAAGAAAATTATGTAAATATCTATATTATAATTTATTGAACCTTATTAGATCAAATTACTTAGACAAAAAATTTCATTGCAAAATATTTCTTAAAAAAAAGAGTTTCAAAGATGTACCCGAGAAAGCGCTGGGAAATTCGTCATCTTATTTATTGAGCTGGAAAGGCTATAAATGTGTATTATGTGTAAATAAATACCATTTATTAATTTTATAGACTATAGAAAAATATAAAAAGTTGGCGAGCCTATTTAAAACCAAATGTTATGTTTTTACTATTATCATCAATATCTTCGATATTTAGTTTACCTTCTTTGATAAAATAATACGGTAATTTCCTTAATAACAAATTCGTATAAATGGGTATCTTTTTCACCTTATTTTATTTGAAATAATAATGAATAAATTCACACGATTAGAGATAAAATATAAAAATTAATTTTATAATGTATTTTGTCATCTTTAAAACCAAATATTATTCAATTTTATAAATTTTAATATAAATATTATTTTATCACAAACAAAAGTTCAAACTTTACATATTTGATATTCAGAAATGTAAGCTTTTAAATAAAAGAAATTGAGCCGTTCAAACGTTTACAGTAACGTCACTAGAATTTTGCCTCAAGTAGGAGGAGGAGGGGGAGTTTTATATAATATATAAAGATCTGCCACCCCACCACCGAATAGGAGCTATTTTTCATTTTCTAAATAACTTGGCCCATAAAGGTATTTGGTTAAATTTTTAACTTTATGAAAGAGCTAATGCCCACTTGTCTCCTCTCCTCATTTTATGATATTGATATCTTGTCAATATTAAGTTAAAAGACGACTACTAAAATTGTGGAAAGTTAAATTTTATATCTAATATTTTTATTTAATCTAACTAACATAGATTTTTCATCAATTTTATAATAAATAATACGGTATCCCTATCCACGTACTTCTATCATGGGGGCAGGGAGAGGATATGATGCATAATCGTCATTCAAATAAAAGGGAGTAAGGGAGTTGCAAAGAGGCTATCGTCAGAATCAAATTGGGAAAGGGGGGGGGGAGGTATAGCCGTAAAGGGAGGGATATGCTAATTTTGATGTGAATTTTCTTGTTTTGCTGCTAATTTTTATTTCACTGTTTTGTTAACTTTTTGATTAGATGGGTTGAGGAAAGGTGATGGGTAGAAAGAGATAGAAGAAAAGGTAGGGGGTAGAGGGAAATGCCGTAATTATCTAGGGGAAGGGGTGTCTAGAAGTGTCTGTCCATATCTCATTTGTATATTTTTTGAGTATGCCTAGATTGCAATTTTTTAAACAGGTTTAAGTGATGAGAGTGAGAGCTATCCAGGTGATGCCACTGATTACAAATAAAGAAATTATGTTTGTTTGTTTAAGATTTTTACCAAAAACAGCGAACAATTTTAGATTTAGAGATAGATAAATATATAAATCTAGATGTTGAAGATTTTGTATTTGCTAAAGAAAGTTAAACTCAGAGGTTAATGCATTCCTATGCCAAACTAAAAGTGGCAATCAATAGAATCACTATAAATAGAACTAATTAATGAATGGGTTTCAATCATGATTCCAGTTATTTCGACATATTTAGTAAAAGTCTGTAGTCATCAAGTAAAATACCATTATCTAATTTAAGCAAACAATTAGTAAATGTAATTTGGTTTACAGCTATGATGCATAAAAAGTTGAAAAACATATGAAATAAATTATATTATATAATGCCATATAAAAAGGGAATATAATGTATAATATAATTGTAAGGCTATTAAAGATGGCAGGGACCTGCAGAGATACCATTTTACGGTAGGGCCCGATTTTTAAAAAAAAAAATTTTCAGGCCATACCCGGATTTTTTTTAAAAAATGGTTTGAAATATACTGCCCGGCCCGGCCCTACTCGGGTATTTTTTTAAAAATATTTTTTAGGCCCGGTCCGGCTGGGTATATTTAGCCGGGCCTGCAGGTCTCAGATATATAGAGATAGTTACTGAAATTTAAAATAATTTATGTAACGTTAACATCTAAAATATATCCTTATCTACATTTTCTTAACACCATTTCTATATCAGTAGCTCTCTTTATTGGGCGATATATAATTAATTATTTATTGTAGAAAAACATGTTTAATAATGATTGTAACATATACCCTGCATTCCTTTATGTCATTGATTCATAACTATAACTGCTATTATGTCATTGATTCATAACTATAACTGCTATTTTTTAACTTAGATTTTATAAACAGTAGTTTATTAAGGTAAATTTAAAAAACCGATTATAAAAATTTATAATTATATAATATCTAAAAAGTAATCGTTACTTTTAAGAAGTAACAAATAGATTATTTCTCGTTACTTTTTGCAAAAAAAATAAGAAGTTTCAATAATTTTTCTATAAATAATATATTTTAATCATGATTTCTTAATAAATCTTTAAAAAATAAATGATATTGTAGATGTTCAAAAATAAAATTACATAGGTAAGAATATAAAAAATGTTGTTAGTTTGATCTAAAATCTCGACTACAATTAATCTAATTATTATACATAATTTAAAATATATTATAAAATAAATTAATTTCTCCTCATATATTATTTTTTAAGGTAATGAAACGTTAAAAGTTACTAGTTAGTCGTTATTCGTTGAAATAATAACTACTCTTGTTTCTTTTCAAAATAAAGTAACTAATAACACCTCCTCCCCCTCCAAAGAACGCCGTTACTAATTACGTTATGTTACGTTGCTCAGCAATTCTTTTACTATTCTGGAAAGTTTTATATCTGGTTATATGAAATTATTAGAAATATTATTTAAATTTTTTTTTAAAAAATCATTACATTCTTAGCGGTATATTTTAGTATGCATATTTCAAGAGATATTCAAAATTTTGCATATAGACAGACACCGTTTAAGCCAAAAATTATGTGAAATTTTTTTTTAAAAAAAAGCATGACATAATATTAATTGAAATTTAGCCAACGTTTAAAAAAATTAATTGGATTATTCTTGTATCATGTTTACCTTAAGGCTGAATATAATTTTAAAAAGAAGCCAATTTCGAATTTGACTTTATACGTTGTGATTTATAATTATAAAAAATGAAGAAGCCATTTTAAAACAAACAATCTAGGATAACAAGATTTTATATTACAAATATTGATACAGTTTTTTTCTCCATAAGCTATATGAATGTATTAGATCTTCAAGTCTGGTTCAAAAAAACTAAAAAAGAAAATTAATAATTCGGACCAGGCCAATTTTAGATAATTAATAATCGTATAATGGAGAGTTTAATATTCATTTACTGCTCATATTTTCAACCTTTTTCAAACAATTCTTAAAATACAGTTCAAAATTATTTAACAAATTTTAATTTCCCAAAAATATCCCCAGCGCTTTAATATATTTTTTCTTCTTCTCAAGCTGGGCCAGGTGCCAAATTTTTATTTTTATCTCTCCAGGTCTCTGAATGTAAATAATAGGTTAAAAAATTAAGAAGATAAAATTATTTTAAATATAAAATTAAGCATTAGACCTGCTCTGAGAAAACAGTTATGTTTACAAATTGGAAATTTATATTTAAAAATCGTGATAAACTTGGATTTTATTTCTCAACAAGATAGATTAATTTAAAGATCTATCTTGTCCTGTCTCTATTAAGTTTCAAGCCGAGAGAATTTGTTCTACCCGCTCTAAAAAAATTAGCCAATTCGCAGGTCAGCATTTCTAAAAAAACTAATGATACTAACAATCCCATGAAGTTTTTTATTTCTTTTAACCATTAGCTTATTTTGACTCAAAATAAATTTTAAATGTTTTTCATAATATAATATGGAATATTAAAAATTAGGAGTATGAATTATTAGGATAAAAAATTTGAAATTACCTTGAATGCTTTAAGTCAAACTATAAAGTATAGTCAAGAAAGGATATTATTTAAAATATTAATAAAGTTAATTTAAATCAAAAGTTTTGCGACGTGTTTTATTTTTTAAAAATCTCAAATTTATACGAAATATTTCAAAAATGTAATAATTATTTTTATTTTTTTTTTCAAAAATGATCATTTTTGTTTATTATGATGATTTTTTTATTATCAACTCTGATTTATAAAATTCAAACATTTTTTTGTTTGAAACATATTAAAATAATAATAATGTTTTTAAAAAATTATATATTATATTTCATAGCTTTAAACTATATTTTTATTACTAAAAAAAAGATAAAGATAATTCCTCATAAACATATATATTTGGGAATAATAAAAGTAGCAGTACTCAATTTAATTTTCATCATATATTTCATTAATAAATAATGATATAATGATATAATAATCTACTAATTGATATATTATTTTATTATACATCATATAACTAACTAATGCCCTTTTAGAGCAAGGTGTTATTTTTTTTTGAATTCCTCGTAATTCAAAAAAAAAATGACATTGCTCTTATCTTCCCTAAAGATACTAATACATTCCTGCCATTTATGATGATGTATTAAGAAATGTAAAGATCACGTGAGAAATAAAATTAAAACTAGGGAAACTACATATAATGCCTATAAAGCAAAGAAGAACCATCTTCGACAGCTTAGGCATATATTACAAGGATGAGTGGAAAACTAGATGTTTAAGGATAAAAGGAGAGATTTTCTAAAATGAGATATGGAGCATGTGATAAACAAAGATAATTGACATGAATAACGCGCAAAAAAGGAGAGGCATTCATATTTGAAAAAAGATAACCTTTTAAAGTTGGCTTTTAGATATAAATTAAAAAGATGAAATTATAAGGTTATTGAATATTATGATATACATAAAAATTCACGTGATTATTTAATATTACCACAAGTTTACAGGTTAGGTTATGAAATATTTATTTTGGCAATATCTATTTTTATAATATATATTTTTTTATAATGTATTTACCTATATGGTCCAATTTAATTTTCAATTTTTGAATTAAATCTTCTTTTTTTAAATAATCAAAAAATTATTAATAAAAGATAATGATGAACGCCAACGCTTCTTTCCTAAATTTTAATTATTGAGTTTTAAAAACTATTGGCCAGGACAGAAAAACAGATAGAAATGTATAAAATAATTAACTAGTCAGGCTTAATTAATTTTTATTATGAGAGATTGGAACTGAAACCGGAAATTTATATTTTTAGACAGAAACTTTAAAAAAAAATTATGGCAATAAATTTTTAATTTAATAAATAAATTTTATAATTTTATTTCTATTTTTTTAATTGCAAATTAAATTTCGTTTTTTTTCTTCCTCTTTCCATCTTTAATATCTAATTCGTATAATTAAATTTATATGTTACTCTTCTGAAAAAAATCAGATATATTTTTTTTTCTGGAAGTTAAAACCTTTAAACGCTATAAAAATTTAGTTATTTATAATATCTTAGAAATTAAAAATTATTTTGATATTTATTTATTTCATTAAATTTAAAAATTTGGACAGTTACTGAAGCCTAACCCCTCTCCCTTCCCCTCCTAAATAGGAATAAAGAAGTTCATCCAAATTATAGTAAATTAGCAAAAATAAAGTATGAAGATATAAATTAGCATAACTCTCAAACCACCTTTACATTGATTTATCACCTCTCTTCATTTTATAGGCGATTGACGATCAGGCTTATATCAATTCTGGTATATTAAATAAGAATCTAAAATGATCTTTAAAATTAAAAAATTTAATCTCAAATTCTTTTTGAGGATCATGCATAGGCGTGTCATCTTCTTCATAAGAAAATTGTTTTTGGACTTTTCTTCTACGAATTAATGTTATCGAAGGAAAGCACTGTTCTTCTAAACTTATTTCCAATTCCTGCTCAAGCTCCTTCTCGGAGTCAAGGGAATTCTGAAGGTCGTTTTCCTTAAAGCGCTCTAAAATATCTTGCATGCTTTCTATAAGTGTAATGGCTTTTTCCAATTTAATATTGTCATTTTGCATCACTTTACTTACTAAATTCACCTGAGTTAATATATCAAATCAGATAAGAGTTACTAAAAGTGGAAATTGTTATAATCCTATAGCCAATGAAATGACTCGTGTGCAGCATTTGGGGTCATTAGTTCTTACCTCTATTAATGCATTGTAAATATCACCAACCTAGTTTCCAATGGCTTATACACTCTCCACCTTACACCTATTGCGTTTCAGGTAACGAGTTTAACGTAAAATTATTCATATAATCTAAATTTGTCGTCGCAGTCGAAACAAAAAAATAGAATAAATATTCATTGAAGAACGCTGAAAAATAATTCTGCGACTAATGATGAACGTGCTAATATAAAACGCTCTCTCATTTATTTGTAATATTTTAATAATTAATGGGCCACCCGGCTAAGCAAGGATTTATATATTTCTTTACATGATAAAAATACTTTCACAATCTTGAACTTATATCTATAGATTTAAATGGGAAAAAAATAATATTTAATGAATATTTTTATATATTTTTTATATATAATTTAACATTTTACCTATATTTTTTATTATATTAGTATTAATATTCCTTAATATATATTTATTTAAATTATATGCTCGTATATGAGATAAAATGAATTTTGCATTCAAATATTTTTATTTTAAGACAATAAAACGTTAAATAAAAGTATATCAAAATATATCTAAAAATTATCTAAACAGATACCTCTAAAATAGTATCTAAATATAGATACAGATTATCGGTATCTATATCTTGATACTATTTTAGATACTTTAACAACTCTGCAAGCAAGGGATTATTCTTTTTTTATAGACATGAATTAATTTTGAAAAATGGTTTGGCATTTATAGCCATCATATATATAAAACAAAAAGTTTGATTTATATTTTAATAAAAAAAACTTCATTTATTTTTAAGTTAAGAAATTTGATTTTTTTTTATCGTTGATATATTACTATTCTACCATATTTGTCGACAGAATATGAAGTTCATAATCGTTACCTTGGAAATCGTATTCAAAATAGAATTATTAACTTGATAGGAGATAAAATCGTAGAAAAAAAAATTGTTGATTAAAAACTCAATATATTTTTACGTATTAGACTGAACAGACATTAGCTACGAGAAACAATTAACCGAGTTATACGATACGTAGAATTTAACCACAACTCCGTTGAAATAAATGAGCAATTTTTTGGCTTTCTAAAAATTTATTCAAGTACTGGCCGGGCCTTGCTTGAAGCATTTTTATCATTATCTAAAAAATCAAATATGAAAGGATGTTATAAATGAGTTCAAGCCAATACCATTGATGCACAAAATTATTTTAAGCAAATAAATTTATTTAGATATAAATATTCCGCTAACATTTAATGGATAGGGGAGACTGGGGTTAGTCGAACCTATTTTTACAAAATTGCCTACAGCTCCTGGTTTTTTTATATAATATAAAAAATAGTATATGATTAGATACCTAAAACTATACTCTATAAAGATGCCTTATAAAAAAATTTAAGAATATGATCATTTTTTTTTAATTTTATTTTTTTGTAAAAGTGAAAATTTTGTCCAACATTCCCCAATAGCCGGGTGAGGCAACCACTTCAAGGGGCTTCCTAAACCATTAATTTTTTAAGGCCATAAGAAATGCATTTATAATTAATTAATTTTATTGTTCAAAATATCATAATATATATAAATTAAAGCTATTAATTTTGGTTAATTTAATAAACATTTTGGACATTAAGAAATAAAAATCTTAAGGAGAGATTATGATTTCTTAGCATAAATCCTAAATACCAATCATAAAACAGCCATGAAATTTCCTTTTTAAGATTTTGAAATTTTTTTCATTATTAATTGCCATAATTGACGTGTATGGTTTAGCAAGTCCCGCTAGCTCTAAATTGAATAATTGAAATAATATCTAGATATAATAAATACTCAAAATATTTCCCAAATTATAGAAGAGTGTTTAAACTTTGCTATATAATTTAATTTACATATAAATGATTATATATTTTAATAAAAATTAAAATTCTGTCATGTAAAAATCTTTTGAAAATAATTAAATATTTCAAAAGATTTTTTGTCTATAGATGTAAACTAATAAAAATATATTGGGTTAAAATTTTAACCTTCTGGTGTATTTAATTTTAAAATGAGATTAATTGGTTTGCCAAGCCTCGGGGTTTATAACCCCAGTCTCCCCTAAATTATAAGTTTAATGTAAAAAAAATGTTTATAATAAATGCTCGTTTTAAATGAGAATTTGTTCGAAAGAACGATAAAAATAGGGACATTTACATTTTTTTATATGGTGTTTGAATTGAATGGGTGTTCACGTATTTTGTGCTCTCATAATAAGCGTTTCTGTTCGAAAACAATTGTATCTGTATTTAGATACATTTTCGAACGATGTATTTATATCTAAAGTATCGTTTAACAACTCTACTAGCTTGTATGTTAAATATATGCTAGCGGCAATGTGTTTATTTTTCAAATTTTTGAAACGCGTTTTTTTAAATTTAACTTTGATTTTACCAGCAATGTGTTCCATCATGTTGGGAATACCTACCCTATAAAGTCAATTTTGCCAAAAAACTTACAACTAATTTAATAACCCCACTTTCCCAACTGTCTGTACGGCCCTGCCTATCAGATTTGACAAGTTTATTAATAGAAATGATTAAATATTATTAATTATATATGTATACCCTAACCCATATCTCTCAAACCTTTAAATACCTCTAGCCCATATCTCTTTAATCCTCTTAATTGCTTAACTTTAAATATATTTCATACAATTAAAAAATTTCTTTTAGTTGCAGATTCCTTGAGTTGGGTTATAATCCAAAAAAAAACAACTAAACTAATCAATTCGTTTCGAGACTCGATCGTTTGCTTTTTGAATAAGTCTTCCCCTCCTACTAGTTACACATTTATATAACCAATGGATCAACTTAATATGATTCATTTATAAAAGTATATATCGTATTTAAATGCTTAAGTAATGGGAGGTCAAGGCTTCAAGG